TCAGAGTTTCTCTTTGGCAGTTAAAAAAAATCAATTAAGTCAATTCCATTTGCGTCCAGACCTGGTTCCCCGTCCAAGTTCTGGGCTCCACCTGTGTTACGAGTATTCAAGTGTTATGTTCCTTATGGATTTTTTTTTTTTTTAATCTCACATGAGAACACTCATTTTTTAATTAACAAAAGCCTGGAGATTATAAGAATTTATTTTTAAGAAAAATTTAACTTCAGTGCCAACTCTGAACCTTCACTAGTGAGTGAACAGTGCCTTCTGCTCAACCACTTCTTCCCACCAGAGCCTTAGGAACACCTCACAGTGCATTCTAAGCTCACCGGTTTCATGTTACTGATGACTTGACTAAAACCTATTTGTCCAGCTCCCTGATGTCAGAGGAGAAGGCTGCAAAACAGGAGACACGCTGCTGAGGGAGCAAAGCACACTGTGAGCCAACAGCTTGGAAGGCTTTTCATCTGCCCACCATCACAGCCTGGTTTCAGATCCCGGGTCTCACGGGCCAGGCACTTACGGGGAGGTTTGCTGCTGCTGCTGCTGCGAGATCAGAAGGCTCCGGGAGAGCCCAGTCACGCGTTCCGCACAAGCAAACACCAGTGCCCTTCCAGAGTATGTAAATATGGGAGTGCCAACACCCCACCCTTTTTCCACAGGCAGCCTCACCTAGACCACAGAGCTGCGAAATGAATCCAGCCAAGAACGAAGCTTTTGCTCCTTCCTTTATTCGGGGCCCCAGTAAACCTTCTTTCATTACACAGGTCGATAAAGCAGGGGAGGGAAGCGCTCCCTCCTTGGCCGCTGATCCGAGGGATTGCCTCATACAGGATTTTCTTTGTGAACAGCAGACTGGGCAGATCCCTATAGGCTTGATTTACCCCCCAATCTCACTTTATAAGCATGTTTTCCCATGAAGAAAGGACAGTCCAACATTGCACAGTCCAAAGGCACTCTGAGCTATCTGCCACACAGAAGAGACTTGGAAGAAGTCCTTAAAATATTAATTCATTCATTTCTCTCTTTACCTAGGGATGTTGTGAAGCATCCACAACTGGAGGTTTTTAAGAACATCTTCACAGAAGTCATTCCTGAGCTATTCAGCTAGAAGTGATACTGCTTTAGAAAGTATCAATGTGTTTTTTCCAGGCTTTTCCCCAGCCTTACCACCTATGATTCATTTCCCACCCGTAGCTTTCATCTCTTTGAGTTTTCACAGATTTTCTCCTATTACCCTTTACCCCTTTGTATCCATACCCTTTTCTTTTAAATTAATTCCCCATTGTTAAATATCTTTTTGCCATCAACTCCGGGTTTTCTTAGCAGCTGTTAAAGGTGGATTTTAACAGCTGTTCACCATCGTAGCTCAGAAGAACCCGAGATGTGACTCCTCAAAAGGGAAAAATCTCTCTGCTCCTTAGACAGAAGGACATGCTACTAATTTTCTGCCAGTGTGCTGCTGCTACTGGACTCTCCAGTTAAGATAAAAATTAAGCTAACTCCCAGGACAGGCACAACATCTGTCAGACCTCTAGGCAGCCACCCTCCCTACATACAGCCCTGACTTTCACTTAACTCCTTCTCCTCTGCAGCCTGCAGAAATAAAGCTTTATTTCACAGGTGGACACTGCTCCTGCTGCAAACAGCATGGCTGGCCATAGGCCTTTTAATCGGCTACTACCGAAACACAGGACAGGGTTCTCCATCCATGATTCAGAAGTGTGTGGGGGGAAAGATACAGAAAGGGGAGCGCTGGCAAACCTTGCGGTGATGTAAACCTGCAGCTGAATACATCAGGAGCCATGCACACCCCTCACGGCAGCGGCGTCTGCTCTGTTACCACAGGACGCTGCTCGGCAAAGCACAAGATGTCACCAGAGGCGGTGACAGCGGCCGGGCCCTGCCAGCCCTGCCCCGGCCGGTGTCCTGGCGATCCTGATGCCCCTCCACAGACCGTGACAGGGCGATGGGCAGGGCCGGCCCAGACCCCCCGAGCGCTCCGGCCTTCGGGCAGGGCCGCGCTGAGGGAGCCCGGCCCGGGGCCGGCCGTGCCCGCAGCCCCCGCACAGGGACCCGCTCACCCGGGTCGGGCTGTGGGGGCAGCGGTCCGGCAGCCCCCTCCCCGCAGCCCCGGGGGTGCCTCTGGGCAGGGCCGGGCATAAGGGACCCCCTCCGCCCGCCCCGGCCGCGCCTCAGGGAGGCTCCCGAGATGGCGGGGCCCCCCGTCGCCCCCCGCCCGAGATGGCGGCCCTCACCTGGGTCTTGGTGGTGAGCTGGATCACCGCCTTCCTGAAGTTGAGCTTGGAGTCGGCGCTGCCCATGGTGCGGCCCGGCTGCGGGCAGGGCCGGGCAGGGCTGTCCCCTCACGCCGCCGCTCCCCGGGCCGCAGCTGCCGCCATCCCCGTGCCCGCTCCAGCGGCTCCCGCTGCCTCCCTCCCTCCCTCCTGTCAAACCGGGGCTCGCCGCTCCCGGCCCTCCCTCCCCTCCGCCCGCATCCCTCCCTCCGCCCACGGCCGCGGCTCCTCCTCCTCCAGCTCTCCATCCCTCCATCCCGCCCCGCTGCCTTCCCTCCCTTGCCACCTCCGTCTGCCATCCTTTCGCCACCTCCTCCCTCCATCTCCACTGACCCTCCCTCGTCTTTCCTCATGGCAGAGCACGGTTTTCCTCGTTTCACCCTCCTCCTCCTCCAGCCCTTCCTCGCTCTCCCCTCCTGCCTGGGCTCCCTTGACCTTCTCTGCCCCTCGCCTTCCTATACAGCCCTTCTGCTCCATCCCTTGTCTTCTGCCCCCAGCACCTTCCTCTGCCCCCTTCTCCCCTTTTCTTGCCCTTTCTCCCTCTCCTCTGCCCGCAGCCTTCGTCCCCTGAAGGCCCTTTGCTCAGCTGCTGTCGGGCACAAGCCCCATGACAGCCCCGCTGAGCCACCCCCGGAGAGCCCGGCCACTGCCACAGCCTGGCCCCAAGCCCAGGTGGTCCAGAGGGGCAGCGGGATGCCCGGAGAACGCTGGCTCTGGCCTCGCCCTAGTCCTGGGGTGAAAGGAACCAGGCTTGTAACAAATACCCTATCGAACACCTTATTAGCAGCTCACTGCCTGTGGTGGCCCATTAACCCTAATGAAATTCCACCCACCCACGAGAGGAGAATGTTTTATAACCCTGGGCACCGGGAGTTCAGGATTTGGCACTCACTGAACACCTCAAAGCAGCTGTTTGAGGCCATTCAGCGTTGCCTTTGAAGCCATCGTCACCGTTTTCTGCTCTGAGCAGCTCTGTGAACTGCAAGCAGGTCTTTCTGGTGTCCCTGAATTACATTCCACATGCTCAGCTCTGCAAACCTCCTTTCTTCAGAGGAAATGAGGTAATTCAAACCATTCTGCAAAAAAAAAAGCAATGTGCTGACTCTCCAGCTGGGGCAGACTGTGGGAATTCTCGTTTGTTGGCATATAACCTGCACAGGAGTCACTGAAGTTTGACTCTATCAAGTGACAGGTCAGATCAGAAACATTCGTGTAAAACCTACAGGAAAAAATATTTTCACAAAATCATGTAATCTGGCTTTTGCTACCAAACAGCCTGGGGCTTTGCATCCAAGCACTCACTCAATATGACTACACTACACAGGCAAATGATAATAATTTATTGTTAGGAAAAGAATACTTTTCACAGTCAATTATTTTTCACAATTAATAGAAGAACTCAGTTAGAGGAGACCTACAGTGATCATCCAGTCCAGCTGCCTCACCACTTCAGGGCTGACCAAAAATTAAAGCATGTTATTAAGGGTATTGTCCAAATGCCTCTTCAACAGGCAAGAGAAAATTAAGATTTTTCCATTTCTGTATTAAAATTGCTTAGAAAAAGATTTAGGACTGCAGAGATGGCTTTCTTCCAGACACACCAGAAGTGCTTATCTTTGCTGAGTTATAAATGCCAAGTTAAAGAGACTCCTTGATTCTGGCCTGCAACTTGCATTAAGGCAGATGACTTTCCAGGCAGCCACTGAATTTGGGGAATGTGTATATGTGATGGAGAGGTCTATGAGGAAAGCAGGGGAGAGGAATAGCCTACAGTTTCCCTCTTACTCCCTGCTTAATCTCTCCTCTGCTGCTACACACTAGAGCTGAGTACTAGCCCTGGCTTTAATCATCCAGGGACTCCCAGCTGCCTGTCACTGCTGGATTGGATGGAGTTTTCTGACACAGATTCCATCTTTTCTGGATGCACAGTCTGCTGCTCTTGCGTAAACATCTTATATTGCCTTTTCTGTGGGCACCACTGCAAGGTAATGCAATCAAATATAAATCCAGGGAGTTCCATCACACAGTAGGTAAAAATAAAAAAAAATTTAAAAAATTGTCATCTAAACCCACTGTCACATTAGTTCATTTGGATCTTAGAGTCTCTGATGGATTCCAGGGCTCACTAGGACAAATAAATCTCCTTGGACCAAACTCCACACTAGCAGCTAGGAGAAAAACCATCGTCTCTTAACAGTCATTCCCTTAAATTTAAAAGCAAGTACCAAAATCCCATTTTTTTCCTGAACTTACTTGTATGTAACAGACACATTTACCCCTCAGAACTCTACAAATCCTCGTGTCCCTCAGTTTTAAACTCATTCCACCCTTCAGAAAGACGCGAGAATTTGTCCTCAAAAATAAGAGAGGAACCTGCATCGGGAGCTCTGATTTCCCACCAGAGTGCAAAACAACACAGAGTTGGAGGAAGACACCACGCTGAGGTGATGCCGTGGGGCTGTTTGTGTGGGGTGTCCCAACCGCATGCCCTGCTCCTGGCTGACCTCCCAGCCGGAGGGTCAGAGCAGGGGGCTGCGGGGCATCTCCCCTTCCTCGGAGCCCGGGCCATCCCACCTCAGCTCCCCGCGGCCCCGCCGTGCGCGGCAGGGCTGGGCGGAGAGGAGGAGGAGGCGGAGGAGGAGGAGGAGAAGGAGGCCGGCCTCGCTCGCCTCCCCCTTCCCTCTCGCCGGTTTTCCTTGCAGCATTTCCATGCTAGAGGTCCCCACCGAGCTGCGGAGCGAGGATCTGCCTGGCTGAGCCGGGCCCTCTTCCTTCCTTTGTGCATCCCCCAGCCCTGTGCAAGCCGTGCCCCCCCGCCCCGGCCGCCACGTCCCCGCTGCATCCCCCGCTCCGGAGCCCCCCCCGGCCCTGGAGGCAGGAGGAAGCCGCCCCCCAGGGCACGCAGAGCCGGGGCAGCGACCAGGCACCGGCTGCCACGTCGTGCCATCCCCTCTTCCCGGCCCGGCCGGGGCACCGAGGCCGCATCCCCGCCCGCATCCTTCCCTGCATCCCTGCCTGCATCCCCGCATCCCTCCCGCTCCGCTGTTCGGCGGCGGCGGGAGCCCCTTCGGCGGATGCTGCGCGTCTCTCCGGGCCGCTGGTGCTAAATGCTGAGCGCCGACAGGATGGAGGAGTTTCAGAGCGAGGAAGAGGAGCCCTGGTATGACCAGCAGGACCTGGAGCAGGGTAAGGATGGGGGCACACCGCAAGGGATGGCGAGCCAAGGGATGCGCGGGCAGGGAAGCGGACAAACCCCAGGGACGGGAGGGTGGGATACCTTCTGTCTTGACTCCTATTTGGTTGGCAAAGCCAGCGCCTCGTCCTGCAGTGGTAAATCTCGGCTCTGCTGCTCCAAACCACTGTCCTGGCCGAGGAAAGTTTAAACCCGACAGCTAGAGGCAGGGAGCAGCAGGTCAGTCAAAATTTTGGTGGTTTGCATCCACGAGGAAGCTGGTTCCCCCAAAAAACTTGCTGCAGGTGGAATCAAACATGGGTAGTTATGGCATCGATTTCATCTCAGAGCAGTCCAAGATAGAGTTACCAGGCACGCTAGTTAGAAATTAATATATTGGAAATAATGTATTTCTGAGGATGCTTTAAGTGTCTTTCAAAAGCTTCTGCTATCCAAGCCCAAATCCAAAGGGATCTTCAGCTTCTTAGTCACCTAATTACTTCTGAAGGTTTTTCCAATCAGCCATAAAACCAGGAGAAATTAGAAAGGAGAGGAAAAAAATCAAGGCCAAGTTTCAAACAGCAAAAATAGCCTTGTTAGAAGATAAATGTTCACTTGTGTAGTTTGCTTTGAAGTCACTGTATCTACGTCTGCACTAGTTCTACGGAACGTTTATCCTCAGGCTGGACAGTTTGTGCCTGTTGGTATTCAGGGCGCTTTTTTAAAAATAATTTTGCTTATCTTAATATTTTGAGTCAACACTCAGTAAGTAAATAACTGCAAGAAGTCCCATTTCAGGCCAGTGGCCCAGGAACGAACTGAACTGATTTCTCAAAGCATAGGGAAAAATCATTCCTACCAAAACACAGTGCCCCTCTGGCATGTTGCACTACAGGTACAGTTTTATATTTGCTTTTCCCAGCTCACTGTCAGCAGGGATGTGCGATCCAGCTGCAGTGTCTCGGCCCAGCGTCGCTCCAGTACATTATGTCATGATTTAAAGTTTACACAACTTCAGCTGCAGGGCAAGGGCCCAGCAAGGAATGATAACCAGCCCTCCAGGGGTTGTCACAGCTGGGTTTTAACCCCAATTTCTCAATTAACAGGAAGTATGAATAGCAGGATGCTGAGCCCTGTCCTTTGAAACACAACGCTCAAATTAAAGCCAGGCAAAGCACAGAGATGGAACTATCAGCTGGGTAAACAGTGCAGCCTTTGACTGCTCAGAAATTCACATTTCTGGGTGACGTCTTCCCATGGCTCACAAGGGGCCTGGGCACTGGTCCAGGGGCGGGACGCAGGCTGAGGAACAGCAGAACTACGGATGAATATAGGGAGTGTTGAACAACGTGGGACCGATTGATTTTTAGCCCAACGCTGTCCCTGGTGTCAGGTTCATGAGTCAGCACTGGCACCGTACAACTGGCTCACAACAATAAAACCACCTTCCCACTGCAGAGCCAGGTTCCCAGCTCTGTCCCAGCAGCCTAAATGTGGAATGACTGTCTCCAGACGATGGATGGATGGATGGATCTGGGGATGGGCTCCACCTTTGTGCACACACAGGACTGGAGGAAAACACAGACGCAAAACAAAGCCCAGCTGTGGGCTTGCAGCCTCCTGTGTGAATGGGGGCTACACAGGCTTGCACAAACTCAGAAGGAGAGATGGGGGATGGCTTTAACTGCACTCAGCCAACTGGAAAGGTCCTACGGGGCAATTACAACCATAATTAATTTGCATGATGCACAAAGCATCATGAAGGACAGTGCTAGACCTCGTCCACATACACTGTGCCTCTGCCTTACAGCCGTGGCAGTACCCAGAGGTCTTTGGTGACAGCACAGCCGTGGAACTGTTGGTTTGGAAATGGGGGGTGGGAGTAGAGTACAAGACATCCAGCGTGGCGTGATTATGAGGCAGCTGTAGGCCAGCATTGCTAAGAGGATTGGCATGCCAAGAGCCCAGGGTCGCACAGAAACCCACGCTGGCAGCAGCGCCAGGAGGGCGGAGGACAAAAGCAGAGGCTTAAATACTGTTCCTTAGCAGCGAGGGGTGGGAGAAAACAAGAAACAACCCAAGCTAGGGGAGCAGAGGAGGTTCTTCTGTCAACCAGTTGGTTCCTGGGCCTTTATCGTCATTTCACAGCATCATCAAATATTTATTACATTTACATCCAAAACTGTTTGCTAAGCAACAGATGGCTTAACTGGGAGCTCTGTGATGATTATGTTAATTAACCATTTTAGCACCACAGCAGAAATCATGCCTCCAGCTCCACACAGAGCACCTGTTACTTTCCTCCTCATCCTCCATAGAGCTTCACCTTGACAAAGTAACTAATTTTTCAAAGAAAATAAATCCCAGTCATTCTTTTCTTCCCCCCCTAAAATGTCCACAGCAACTGGCTGCATCTACCACATGCCTTGGACATAGCAAGATCTGGTCCCCAGCATCAAGGCCCTTCCAACCTCATTCAAATGAAGCTGGTGCCTTTCAGATTCCTTTACCTGTTCCCTGCACGCTGTAACCCTGTGTGGCTCAAGATGCCTTAGCACAGAAGCAGAGACTCAAAGCACAGTCAGGATACTCAGCAGTGACATGGGAACAGTAGTGGTGTCCTCTGAGTTGTTTCTTTCTTATGGTGTTCCCTCTGGGAAGGCTTTCTGATTTGGGGAAAGTGGTGAAAATGGAGCCTTGACTGCTTGGTAGCATGACTTAGCTTATTGCTAGGTTTTATAAGCATGAATAGACATCAGTGCTGCTTTAGTTCAGCTACAGCCTCACCTTCCATGGGCTGGGAGGTCTGTGCCTCTAAGCATTAAAACCAGGATACAGTGCTGGTAAACCTTTCTCCAGCTGTTGAGAACTGATGATGTGGGTACAGTTGCATCATATCCTATGCACAGGGTGGATGTGCAGCCAGACCCCAAGAGAATGAATGAGCTAAAATTAGAGAGTCTGAGCTGCAGATAAGTGGGGACACCTTTTCTGTTCATCAGGAGCATTTGTCTTCAGGAGGGCCGTGTGCCAACTCAATTGCATCTGGATCCAAACAGACTCAGCAGCTCTGCCAGCCACTTCCAGCCTTCAACTCCCCCGCAGCAAACTCCCAAGATGAGTTCTCCTTGCAGTCACCCCCTGCATTCCCTGATCTTCCCAGCCTCCCTGTCCCCTTGCTGGCATCTCAGCCAAAGAGCAGAGTGCAGCTCAAGAGGGGGCCTTTAAAAGCCACTCTTACGGTCTCTGGACCTACCCATAGCCTAAGGCACATAGTGGGGTTCTTAGGGTGTCCTGCACAGGGCCACGCAGTTGGACTCCATGATCCTGATGCGTCTCTTCCAACTCAGCATATTTTATAAGTGTGGGGTGATTTCTCCCGTGTCAATAAAAGGCCTCCTGCTGCTCTGAGTCTCTGAGTTGGGCAGCAGGACCAGAGGCAGTGCAAGAACCAGCACATCACCTCATTGCCCCTGCGGGATGGATTGTCCTCTCCTCCTGGGCAGTCACAGAAACTTTTGGGCCAAACCATCTGCAATGCAGGCTCAGGACTTTACAGCTGTAACCTCTAAAGGTCTCCAGATTTAAGGATCTTATTTTAATTCCTCCTCCTCCTGCCAAGCATCTGATTGCTAAGAAGGAAAATGACACAAGGTGCTGAGCTTGCACCACTCCCAACTCATCCGTGTAAAGACACAGGGTCACCAGTCCTGACGTTGGGGTGAGCCCAGGGGATCAGTGCTGGCACCCACTGACACCCAGACCTGCCTGTTTCCTGCACCACCCAGCCCACGTGGGGTGGTCCATGGCACTGCAATCCACGGCCAGCATTCCCAAAGGATTCACTGCACTGGGGAGCAGGTGGTATCCCAAATTCTGCCGCTCCTGATGCAGCTATCCCAGTCCAGATACAAGGCACACAGCTTTCCTGTCCTCCAGGAGCACAGCAGTTAACTCACCACCCTCCCTCCCCAGAGGCAAGCCAGAAGGTCAGAGCTTTGCCTGCAGTAGCTGAGCCACTTACTTATTTAGCAGTGCAGTACAGCAGGTAGCTTATGGAAGTGGAAAGTTTTCAGTGACTAATTGCTGAGCTGCTTGGGAATGACAAGAGGGACTAGGAAAGTCACAGGAGACAACGAAATAGGATGACAGGTTAGTCTGAGGAAGGGATGAGAGCCTCCAAATCTGGGGAGGGGTAAAAATTAAAATATACATATAGAGAGATGTATTTTCCTGGTGTAAAAATTCCCCTGTTATATAAAGGCAGCAAGAAAAAGGGGCATAAATAAAAAGCCCACACAGCAGCTTCCAGGATCTCCCTCCTGGTCTCTTACAGAAGCTCCTTTCTACATCTGCTGAGCCCCAGGCACATAGTTCCAGCTGTGGGAAGGAGCAGAATCAGAGGAACTGCTGGAAAGGGGAAAAGAAAAAAAGAAAACCCCACAAAAATCAATCAGAGTTTTCCATATCTCCCATCCTGAAACAATCAGCTAACAGTGGCATTTCTCCTTGGCAAGGCCATGCACAAAGGATTTATGGTCGGAGTCCTGAAGGACATTTTCCCCTGGTAGCCCTGATCCCGAGGGACTGGGAGCCAAGGCACCAGCCCCTAACACCCTGCACACAGAGGCATTTTCCAATCCTCTTTCTTTTCTCCTGTACCAGCCAGCGCTGGCTGGTGACAGGGCGGGTGCACTGACTCAGTGTGACAGTCAGGAACTGTGACAGCACCAGGTCCATTCCTGCTCCTGCTGAAAGCAGTGCCAGCACTCAGGATAACCCATGGCTCGCTCGCTCCCAAACACTCCATCTCCTCTTCCAAAAGGCCTTTCCCGGAGCAGCACAGTGCTAAATTCCCAACTCCTCTGGCTCCAACAGACCTGTGTGCTCACACCGAGCACACCATCAGGGCTCCCAAAGCTCCTGCTTAACCTGCCCAAAAACACATTTGTGGGCCAAGAATTTTGGAAAATATCCCCAAGACAAAATACCCCAGAGGAATGAGACCAGATGT